TCTCAAAAAAAAAAAAAAAAAAAAAAAAAAAGAAGAGCAATGCCATCTATGTTGTCTAGTATCCGGGCTAGACAATCATGCAGAATCAAACACAGGCCAGAATGTTCAACCAATAAGGGAAGGCTGCAGATTGGGGCTGGGGGACAGGGAAGAGAGGGGACTTGGACCCTGCACAAAGGCATTTTCTCCATCAATGAAGAGCTTAGGAGCCATTGAACCAGAGGACAATGGAAGCCAGCCTATAAATTCTCCTCCAGTCCTAGGGTCTGCATCTGGGAGTGGCTCCAGCAAAGCCCACCCCACTCGCTGTGTATGGAGTCTAGGCCCCCAGCCCCCTGTTCAGGAGGAAGCAGATCCAGACCCTCCTACTCACCTTCTAGATGGCAGGAAGAGATATCTCTAACTTAAATTCCCTCTACAAGCCTGGGATGCAGAAATGGATGTGAGGAGCAGAGAAGTTGCCCTGCCTGGTCTGAGGGTTTTGAGCCAGTGGTAGGAAGAGAGGTGGAGCGGACCGTGTTGAGTATTGGGACACTGAGAAAAGGACTATGGCCCTCCTTTTCTTGGCCGAATTGGGCGTGTGGTCCCACTCCTTGTTAAGTACAGAGGCAAAGGGAAAGGGCTGCTGTCCCCTCCTTAGCGGCATGTCTTTAGTGCAGGATGCTTCCCTTCTGCTGGTTTTATCCTCAAGCTCTAGGACACTGGGTTAAAAACAAAACAAACCAAAACATAAAATTAAATTTCAAAAAGAAAAGGACTATGCCCCTGGCCAGGGGCTAAGGATCAAGAGGATCAGGAGAAGCTCCTTCTCCCACAGCCACCACTGCGGCTCCCTGAGTTGCAAGATCCCAAGGACCCAGGATTTTCCTTTCTGCCATCCCCCCCTCACTTCCCCTCCTCCTGACCCCACCAGCACCGCAGATCCTGCCGCTGGCAGGGAGTTGGGCTAAGGGCAGGAACGGGAGCCACAGCTGGCTCATTCTGCCTGGGAATTCTCTTCTCACAGTCGTCACAGAACTGGCTCCTTCTTGTCATGCTGGTCTTGGCTTGAACATCACACCCGTCAAGAGGCTGTTCCTGACTGCCCCTCTGGTGTAGCCCACCCAGAGTCACTGTCATAGCACCTGCTTTACTTTCGAGATAGCTTCACTACCCCCTGGTATCTTCTCTCTTACTTGTTTCCACATGTATTTTTGTGTCCCCTATCCAGAATGTAAACTCCATGAGACCGGGACCCTGTTTGTGTAGTTCACAGTTGTTTCTCCAACACTTAGAACCGCACCTGGCACAGAGTAGGTGCTCAACTATTTAGTTGATTCATGAATGAATAATAATTGCTAGCATTTGCCAAGTAAGTGCTTGCTACATTCCAAGCACTTTTTTCATGAGTTAACTCGAGGATCAGTGAACTACGTCTCAGGGCAAATCTAGCCTCTTGTCTCTTTTTATAAATAAATGTTATTGGAACACATGTCCATCGTGTATGTGTTGTCTATGGCTGCTTTTGTGACATAATGGCAGAGTCGAGTAGTTGTGACAGGGCTAGTATGGCCAGCACACTAAAAATATTTACTGTCCAGCCCCTTTACAGAGAAGATCTGTGACCTCTATGTTAACTCATTTAATTTTTACCAACACCATTGAGGTCAGGTCTGTTGTCATCAGCATCTTACAAATAAGGCAACTGAGGCACAGAACTTGTCTGAGGTTACACAGCTGTAAGCACAGAGGCTGGATTTGAACCTCTTACTCTGGGCCTTGTCCCTGCTTAGCTACTGTGCTCCATTACTCTCCTGGGAATGACAAGGGGGAGCGAAGGCGCATCTGGCCAGCCGTTGGCATCCTAAGGGCAGCACAGGAAAGAGGAAAGGAGGAGGGGAAATAACAAACCCAGAGTGTCTGGGAACCCAGCAGCGTCCCTAGGACACAGACCATTGTCTGTGAGGGTTGGCCCAACTCCAAATTCTGTTCCCTAGAGCAGAAGCCCCACCTCTAAACATAAACCAAGACTCAACAACCTCCTGCAATCTGAAGATTGAGTGTAGAATATTCTCCACTTAAGACCTGAGGTCCCAGTATTTTTCTTAAACCATTGATTGTTGCTAAGGCTTGTCTGCAAGAGAATGAAGGATCTGGTCATCCCCTATCCCGCACAGGAAAGGGCAATTTAACATTAAACATACTATATATTTTTTAATTTTTATTATTTATTTATGTAGTTCCACAGAAAAATGCTCTGGCTTCTGGGGCTCCCCTGTACACGTCTGAGAACTACACGATCTTCTCATGTTAGAAGTTGGACACAGTTAAATCCCGAGGTTAGCAAAACCAAGAAGTAGGTCCTCCAGAATCAGAGGATAAATTGCAGTCTTGAAAACCACAGCTCTACACAGGAAGCCTCCTAGAAGTGCTAGAAGCTTTCCCTTGCTGATAAGAAATGTCGAAAAAGGGGTTAGGGGTTGGAGAGGGATGCGGCAAGCTGGAGGGGGCAGTGAGCTGAGCTGAGCTGAGCTGAGCTGAGCTGGTCAGCCCCACCCAGGTAGGGAGGCCTGTTCTGACAGCATGTCCTGGAAGGAGGGTGCTGCTGCTGGTGGAAGGCCGTGGACAGGCCTCGCCAGCCCTGAGCCTCTGGCCTTTGGAGGCTGCTTGAATGTTTACCAAGACTTTCACATTTGTCATCACATTTGCTCATGACAAGACCCAGAAGGAAGAAGAGTTACTTCTTTCCCCATTGGAGAGGTTATACAATTTGCCAAAAGTCACACAGTAAGTGGCACCAGATGACTACCCACCTTTTGCACGGATTCCTTGCTTATGACTCAGTGGGAAGCCTGATAGAAGGACAGGGTCATTGGGAGAGGGCTTAGGTATTTCTTTTTGTCCATCTCATTCTCTGCTGTATCCCAGAACCCAAGACCTGGCCCAGAGTAGGTCCTCAATAAATATTTGTGCAGGGTATTAAAATGCCACATCCTCGCTGTAGTCTAGTGGAGGTAAAAAGGGAGGTACAGAAAAAAGCCAAGAAGAAACTGGAACATGAAAAAGAGTCATCAGAGGGATAAAAAGTGGGTTCTGAGGAGAATGAAATCAATAGGCTGGAGAAGTGGAATTCCTGGAGGACGCAGCAGCTGACAGGGTGTTGTCAGGAAGAGTCTATTTCCACAAGTAGAGACGAGGGAACAGTGACACCTCCATGGCCCTGCCCCTGCCTGTCTTCCCCTCCAACCCTCTGTGGCTCATACTCACTGTACCAAGCACTCTTCCCTCTGTCCTTGCTGCTCCCTTTGCCTGCAGCATCCTCCCCTCCTGCCCCTTCTCTTCTTTCCTTGGTGCACCCATCTCCTCCCCTGAAAAATGTGCCTGACCCCCAACACTCTCCTTGCCCCCCTCCCTAGCACAGAGTAAATATTCAAGAAGACTTATCCAGTGGATGGGTATCCAACTTTTGCGGGGCATAAGGTGTATAATGGAAGACGAGTCTGGAGTAAAAGATGGGCACTGCCTTGAAGAAGACACCGGCATTGGACATGGCTGCCAAGGGTGCCAACGTTCACACAGTGGCTGGGTGGAGCCACAGAGCCCACTGATGGGGTGTCTGTGCTACACGAAGGCTAAGGAAGACCAAGAAGGAGGAAGGCCTGACTGATGCCCTGGCATCCTATATGCACTCAGGTTTCTGGAGACTTTGGGGCACCTGGGCAAGCCCCCCAGGTTATGCTCACACCTGGCTGGCTGGTTCCAACAGGAGTTCCAACCCATGGCTCTGGTACCCTGCCAGAACTCATCACCTCACCCAAGTCTAGAGAACCCAGCAGACAGCCTGGGGTCAGGCCACAGTGGGCTGGAAAGGTGGAGCTCAACTTGAAAACAAAGGAGGGGAAAAGGTTGTTTCCAGCAGGGGCAATGACCTGGCTTCACTCATTCATTCATCCATTCAACAAACCTTTTTTGGGTTCCTAGTGAATGTAATTCTGTGAAAGATCAAAGCTGGCTCCACGCTCATAGTCTAGTGAAGGGTAAGGAATGTTCCTTCAGAAGGGGCACACAAATACAAGAGACGAAAGCACCCTGGGGCCACAGGAGGGAGGCAGCATTTCTGTTGGGAGGGTTTGCGAGGAGGGGACATTTCAGACATGCCCTAAAGATGTCCAGAAGAAGACTCCAACAAGAAGACATGGAAAGGTTGGATAGGGGAACAGATCAGACAGGAGACATGAGCTCCTGAGGGCGGGAACCATGGCAGGCTGGTCTGTCCCTGGTCCCCTGCTCAGTGCCCAATAATTATCTGTCTTTTTTGTTGAAAGAGGCCCTGAATGTTCCCTGGGCCTCCCTCCTTCTCTCCTCCCCTGGACACCTCACTGATCACCTAAACTTCTCTCTCCACAGCACCTAGTCTCCTGAGCCCCTTTGCTTCTGCCAAACCTACATCTTCAACCTCAAAGGCAAAACGTCACTTCTCTTTTGTCCCCACACATCACCCCCTTGCATCCTTGATCTTACCCCCAACGTCCTTGTCCCCCCTTGTCCTGCAGTGACTTGTCTCTCCATCTGCTTAGGCTTTTCCTCTGTGGATTCCTTCCTTTTAACTTATAAACCTGCTTAGTCTCTGGCACTCCACCGTCTCCTCACTTAGATGTTGCATTTCCTGAGGACAAGAACCCACGCAGTACCTACCATCTATGCCTCTCTTGGGCCCCTCAAAATCTTAGGAATCTAAGGACAGTGCCCTATGCTCGGAAAATATTCACTGAGTGAATGGCTCTGATCCACCCCACGGCTTCCTCAGGGGTCCTCAAGGTAAGGTCGAATGTCATGTGTATGACCCACAGACACCTGAAGAATGGGCTGGGCTGACCTCTCCCTTACTTCCTTTAGTCTTCCTCCCAAGCTCCAATAATCCCTGAGTGATTACACTACCCTGGGCCTGCTATACTGTTCGTACCTCTCCTGACTTTTGTGCAAGCTATTCCCTCTCTCTGGAGTGCTCCTTCCCCACTACTGCACTGTACCAGCTCCAAGCCCTCCTCCTCCTGGAAGCCCTCCTGGCTCTCTTCCCACCCCATGCACCTCCTCCTAACTCCTATCCAGGGCTGTTGCACCATGTGAGAAGAGTTTGTTTACAAGCCTGCCTCCTCCATGAGACTGCAAGCTTTGGGGCAAGGGGTAGGGAGTCTTGGTCAGTAATTTTAGCCTGGCAGTGGGTGTTCAACAGATGTTCATTAAGTGAACAAGTTATGCCTCTGGAATCACTAGCACTTCTCCAGTGACTCCAGAGGCATAAGTCCAATCTTGCTCTAAACTCCTGGATCCCATTAACAAAAAGGGGTGAAATTCCTTAGGGGAGCAGAGTATCAAAGAAGACATGAGCCCACAGTCTAGGGACCCCAAAACTTAGGTCTAAGAAGATCCTCTTTTAAGTCGGTTTAAAAAATTAAGCGTATGCTCCTTGATTTTATTTTTAAAATTCAAGGAGATCTGGGACATGATTTCTAATGTGTTCTAAAAATATATTTTCTATGGTTTTCTTCTTTTTTCACAATAAAATACCTTTGGCATGACACTTCTTTTTGTGTAAGTGAAAACACAATTTCATGAAATGGTACTTTATGAGGAAAGCAAATATCTGATCTAAGCTGGGGATGAAGGGAGGGGTTCTACACCAGTCTGTTCCCTCTCTCCTAGAAAAGGCCCACGGCCAGAGAGG